TGCTCAGTCACACTAGCCATATCTCCAGTGCTCAGTAACCACATGCAGCTACTGTACTGGACAGCGAGACATAGGTCATTTCCATAATCACAGAAAGTTCTATGGGATGATGCTACCCTAGAGAATACCCTTCCCTTATCATAGTTAGTCACACAGTTCTTTTCTCCTCTAACTTCCTCCACTCCCCTTCCACCTGGTGAAGGAAATCCACGCCCAGATTCATGGGGCCGCTTTATCATCATTAGAAGGAATGACCGTGAACTCCTGATCTAACCTATTACCACAGAAACATTAGGGGCCCCCATGTGACAAAGAGGAGGGATTTTAACAATGAATTTTAATATGTGAAGCTCATAGACAATATTAAGGGAGAAATGTGATACAAAATCTGCTACATATCTGTTTTGTGTGTATATATCTGCTATATCTCAATTATTGAAATAAAAGTAATTTTTCCTTTATTTGTTTACTCTGTTCTCCATTTTCTAATTAGTATATTTAATTCCAAATATGTTTATAGTTATAAAAACAAGTTAGTTTTTAGAGGGAAAGAAAAACTTCCCAATATTTACGAGAGGAGGGCTGATTCTCCCTCAACTGTAAGAGCTGCAGCTTGGGTAGAATCAGTTGATCTGCAAAGTCCTCCCCACTCTCACTCCTCCACCACCCCGTCCATTCTGGGAGGTAAAATAACTTCAAAACAGGGGGAGGAGTGATTTTATAACTAAATGGAACAACTAACATTTATTGCCAATATAAATTCATGTGTGCATTCTTAGGCTATTATAAATATGTGTTCTCATTCCAACTGCATTATCAGTCCTCAAGGACAAGGTATTATCTTCTCTTGCTTTGGTCCCTCCGGCAGTACCTTGACCAGCACTTGATAACTGCCATTGACTGACTGACAGATTGGCTGACCTTGCCATCGCTCTTATGTTTTATGCTCACGACATGTGTTAACATCTTGCCTCGTTTTGCTTTGGGTCCGAGATGTAGTGTTTCTTCCAAATTTACTATGTGAAATCCAACAGCTGGAATACAGGAGCCATTCATCAAAAAAAAAAAAAAATGAGTGAGGTTTTTTTCTCAGTTTGTGTGTGTGGCAAGACCCTAATAGAATTTTTTTTAATTTCATTAGTTTTATGGAAATAGCACTGAGAAGAGGATATGTTAAAGCTCTTTGACTTGAGTGACCACAGTCATCCACACCAGTGTACTTGGCATCTCTAGTAACTGGCTTCTTGAAGGGAGGGATTTAATAAAGAGGATTTTCTTTCCCTGAGTTGGCTGTGAGAGTGATAAAACATGCTTGCGGGGCCATTCTGGTTTTGACTATTTCTTGTGTCAGCCAAGACACCCACAGGCAGGAATTACAGTCCACTCTGCCTTCTTACTCAGGTCCAGATGGACAGACGAAACTGGCAAATGGAGCCCAGAATGCAGGGTTTAATATTTAACATTGGGTGTATTTCACTGCATCTCAAACCTTTTATACTCTTACACATCACAACGCTCAAATGTAGATTGAAGCCATATGACATTTCTACTGTCTCTTAGAAGCATGAGAGAAGGTAGGAAAGAAAGAATGAATTAATTTTCACAAAAGGTAGGTGAAAGTCTCTATCACTGTACCTGACACACCTGAGTGATTAATGTCTCTCTCTGGGGAGATGGGGAGTTTAGTGAAAAGTATCTTCTCTTCTTGGAAGAGTAACATTACACTGAGGAATGCTATTGGGGAATTTATGGTTGACAAATTTAAGTATAGCAAACAGAGGGATAAATAGCAAATACTGTCTATTTTGTTCAGTGAGGAGACATTACATTCTAATAAACCAACCCTGATGGTTCATGGTAATGTTTTCCTCCTGATGGGTGTGCCATGATTACGTGTGGTTGGCCACCAGGTACCCAAAGTTATGATCTGTTCAAGAGACCTCGCAAGCCACAAAGCTGCACATCCCAGGTTCTTCAAACCACTCAAACTTGTTGCTGTTTTGAGTCTGCATTTGCTGAGTAAAGAAATCAGGGTCTGTGTCAGTCAGTGCAGGATCTGGGAATCAATATCAGCAAGAAGTATACTGCTCAGGTCCCTGAGGGCCAAGAACGTTCCAGAGGATTACACCTGGGAGGTGTACATGAGCCACAGGCCCACTGCTGTGTTTATTCTTATGTTTGGTTATTGCCGAAGGACTTACTGACTTTTTGAAAGTTTTCTTTCTCTTCGTAAATTTTTCTCACTTTTGAGAATTACATTATGGTCAAATAATTTTCTTTGTTTTCCTTATTTAGCAAATATGTATATTATATAAATTAAATTATTAGCATTAATAAATATTAATAATATAATTATATTATCAGGTTATATTATATAGTATGTAAATATTCATTTAATTTTCATAATAACTCAGTGAGATATAGATATTATTTTTAACTCCATTTTACAAATTGGAAAACTAAAACACTGAGAGGCTAAGTAATTCGCAAGGCTACACAATTAGTAAGTAGTTGAGCTACTATTTGAACCCAGGAAATCTGGCTCCAGAGTACTTGCTTTTCACCACTATTGAAATTCAGAAAAATATAGAGAAAAAAAACAAAGACAGCTATAGATATATTGCCTTGCAATCCATCTTATATGTAGACTTCCACATAACTGGTCTAGTATTCATATTCAGCTTTGTATCTTGGCTTTTTTCCAACTGAACCTTATAATAGTCTTTCCACATTATGAAAATTCTTTATAATCATTGTTTTAATGGCTACTTAATATCCCCATCATGTACATGTACCACTCTTTCCTTAACCATTCTCTTCTGGTTACCGTTTTGACTCTTCAATTTTCTATTATGACAACAAACAATGTGATGACCATCTGTATAGAATTTCTTCTCTTCTTTGGACTACACTGTTAGGGTACACTCCCAGGAGTAAAATTTTCATATCAAACAGTATGAACATTTTCAGGGTTCTAGATACAGGTTGTCAAATTGTTTTCCAAAAGGCTTATGCACTTTTGCCACGTCCACAACGCTATGCAGAATGACTTTGCTGCCACTCTGAGTCCAGCATTGAGAGTCATTTTTAGAAATCTTGATCAATGTGATAAGTAGGCTATAGTATTTTATCATTGCCTTAATTTTCACTTCTTTGATGGCTAGAGGACTGACAGTTTGTCCATATCGGCCAGTCAAATTCGAGTGGTCTCTTTGAGTCCTTTGCCCATCTGTCTATTGAGAGCATAGAGAACCTTTGAATATCAAAAAGAGAAGAGCTGCTAATTTTCCCTTTTTTTTTTCTTCTACTTTGACATGAAATTTCCTTAGGTGTTTTCCTAGTCTATACTGCTAACATGCACATAATATTCCCCCCAAATTTTATGTGGATTTTTCCCTTGGTTCTATAAAAATGTACAACCATCTTCTTATGAAGGATATTATTACTTAGTTTCTACTATGAGTGTTCCCTGTGGGTGAACCTGCGTCTATCTCCCTATCTTGGATCATAAGCTCCTAGCGGGCCAGCCTGTGTCTTTATGGGCACTTTAGCTCATATTCTTTGGTAATGTTTCTCACAACCATAGAACAGGCCTGGCAGCCAAGGGTAACAATAAAGTTACACTTTAGAGTACCATTCAGAAATGAGAAAAGTTGTAAGCATGGTAGGCTGGATATGTCAATACACCCTGGTTGTATTTAAAGAGCCTAAAAGAACCCAAATAGCACCTCGCTACCTAATTTTCTTTAATCAAATTTTGTCTAATTTGATAGGAGCTTAATTTTCTTTTATCAAATGTAAAGATTTTCAATCTTAAGAAGAGGCTGTTCTAGTAGAGGAAGGCACATAGGACTAGGGCCTGAAGTTCATGGCTTAGTTCTGTGTTCTCTGTCATTTAATAGTTGTACAAGGGACTCTGGGGCACTTCCTCTTCTAATTCCTCATTTTTTCCTATGAAACACAAAGTAGTGATAGCAATAATAACTGCCATTTATAAAGCACTTTAAAATGTTATGTATGGGTTTCCTTATCTCATGACTTGCTTAATCTTCACAGTAGCCTGGTGACATAGACGGTGACGGTCACATTTTGCATTTCAGGAAATGCAGTTTCCAGCAGAGCTGCAACTCTCTCTTTAATAAATTATCGAATGAAGATTTCATTATTATATTTTAAAAGCATACTGTATGACAAGAAAGTAATCCATTAGCCTAAATTTATCAGGAGGCAAAGAAGAAAAAGGAAAAGGAAGGTGTGGAACATTATTAAAAATAAGAACACATAGGATCCCAAGGAAGACTCCATTAAGTGAGGAAAAAATTGAAAGGGATAAATGAAACATGATTAGCAAAATGTTGATGATCATTTTCAAATATTAAGAAATCTTTCCACATATTTCTTAATTTTACTATTTGTTCACTTTCAGTTTTCCCATTGCAAGATCAACAATAAAAATAGTTGAGTAAATTGCAGTAATCCAACTGTGGGATACTATGTACCTATTCAAAGTAATGAGAAAGATAGAAATGTACATAAATTTTTCTGTTAGAAGGAAAGGTGAATGATTAGATCTCTGTTGCTTTTTTAAAAATTCTTCAGATTTTTACTAAATGTGAAAAACAGAAGATAGGATAAATGAAGGTAAGGGAGATGCACTGATAATTTGGTGGGAGAGCCAGGGTAGTAATGTCCTCTGAAAGTCAGGCCTTCAGCATCCAGGACCCTTTGGAGAGTCTAGGGGAAGGAAGATGTCCTTCAGCTTCACACGCTCAAGGAGGAATAAAAATGTCATAAGCCAATAAATTTTGAAAGCCCCTGGAGGTGGTAGCACTTCTGCCCAAAGGTGCATTCCAAACGCTTGCTTAGATGGTTTTATGGGTGAGCCTAAGAGTTAAAGGTATTTTGTCCTATGAAGCTAGGCTGAATGAAGGTCTGGCAGGGTTGGAATGATCTTTGGAAGTTGTACCTTGCAGTAGCTCAATGCCGTGCTTGCATTTCAGGATTTTATGGGCAGCTGCAGACATTCTGCCCCCCACATTACCCGGAATCCCAGAGAACCATGCCGCCCAGCAGCTCCTGCAGTGCAGTGCCTTCCTTCGAGGACTACCTGGTCCCCACATCCATGGGCCAGGCTGGCTTTGATGTTTTCCACAGAGCCTTCTCGACTCACTCGGGCATTGCAGGTGTGTTGGTGTTTGTGACTTAGAAGTTTGTGCAGAGTGGCAGGAGAGACCAGTTGGGTTTCCTGTGACCAGCTGGGCTAAAGACCCCACACATGACTGCATCAAATCCTGTTGAATCTACCCCTTAAACATCTCTCCTCTTCACCTTCTATCCAGCCCCACGTCCATGACCATAGTCCACGTGCCATCATGTGTCATCCTTTGTCTTCCAACGTCTCCCTATGTCAGCTCCTTATTTTTACTGTTATTCTGCCTTCCATGTTACCATAATTAATGCCTTTCAAAAATGAAAGATAAAATAAGATTTTCCTGCTCAAATACCTTAGTTTCCAGTTGCCTAGAGAATAAAGTCTACTCTTCTCAGCATGGCATTCAAAGCCCCCATGAGTTAGACCAGATCATCCTTTCCAGACCCCCCTCACACACATTTCCCTACATGCTCTGCACCTGAGCTTTGCCATCACACTTGGCCCCACATGCCCCCTCCTCTCTGTCTTTGCTCCCTACTTCCTCCTTCTAGGATGTTCTTTTTTTCTTTTTCCTTTTTTTTTTAATTTCTCCATCTGTAAAAATCTCATCCTTCTTTATGACACAACTTTAATAGCACCTCTTATTGAGACTACCCTCTCCCTTCCCAGAACACTTCATTTTTGCTTATACTCAGTCCATATTTTGTGCCAAGACTTATTGTCGCCATCTGTCTGCACATCAGCCTTCTCTTCCACTAAGGTGCCCGAGGCACCTTAAGATGCCTACTACAGGGCCTGGTTCAGCACGGTCACCTCACTGCATGCCTGGCAAGTGCGGCGAGGCAGGAATTGACTCGTGTGTTTGTTCTCTTCCAGTGTATGATTTGCCTTCCGGTTCCTCAAGCCTCTTTGGAGAGTCCATTCGCAGTGGGCCTGAAGACAGCAGCACATTCTTGCAGATCAGCGCTGTGGACCGCTGTCCTAGCCAGCTCTCCTCTGTTTATACTGAAGGCTAACCATTCCCCTGGCCTCCACTACCACTGGCATCCAGAACCTTTTCATCGCTTGCCACCTTTTGTGTTCACACCCTCATAGACTGTTTGGAAAGGATGTTGACCGAATCAGTGGAACCTGCGAAGTCACAGATGGGTCTTTGGAAGGCAGGGCTGAACGGTCGGTCATACCTGGGCTTTGCAGGAATGTTTGCATGTGCTCCTTTTTCTCACTGGGTTTGCTAGTGACAGCAGGACTGTCTTTTCAAAGGGAATTGAGACTCACTCTACTGGATGTCTGTTACTTCCTGGCTGTCAACCCTCAGAGGACACCAATGAAGTGATGTGCTTGTGAAAATGTAGTTTGGGAATCACCCTTGCTGAAAACCCTAAATAGAGAAGGACAATGCGAATTGCCAGAAGTACAGTGAACTGCCTTGGCCAGTGCTCGTCCTCATTGCTGGCTGAAGCCAAGCCAGGCACAAGGGAAACCCAGGTCTACAACACAGAGTGGGCTGTGCTCTTGGACAGGCCCCCGGTTTCCAGCACCAGCCTGGCATTTCAGTGAGCTGGCTGCCTCCCCCTCTCCTTTTAGATATCCCCATGCTAACCAATGCTTTTCAGTATTTCTCCAAAAGCAGAATAAGACGGTTCTGTCAAGTACAGTCTTTTGAAAGGCACTACAACTTGTTTTATATTTCAAAAACCTATCTTAGTTCTTTCATTTTTAAAGACTTGTTATTTACATTTACTTTCAATGGAAAAAAAATATTTAGAAGTCTGTCCTTTGGATGCAAAAATTATTTTAATCACCCCAGCTACATACATTTTTTGCCCCAGCTGAGCAGCCCTGCCTGGCCACACCTTGCAGCACCTGTGAGCACTCCTGGAATGTTAGTTTTGCATTAGCAAAGGCTACCTGAGGGAAATGGGGTGGGCACACCCTCTTCCCAGTGCTGTAGCAGGAACCCTGGAGGGTTAACTGTTCGGCAACTCCACCTCAAAGACCTTGTTCAAAGCACAAGGTCACGACTAGTTCCCCATTGCTTCTGCTCTGGTGCTCTGCCCAGAGATGTGCTAGAAGATGTGAGCACGGGGACACACTGGGTTATGTCCCTTGGTTTCTCAGAAAACCAAACTAGAGATGCCCTGTGTCCAGTTATTTTGCACAGCCTCTGCTCCCCTCCCTTAGGATATCCACCATCTGTCTGTCTGTCTCCCCCCTGTACTTTTCTCCCTCCTTTTGCATTGTTCTCACCCTCTTCCCGACTGTGATTCAGATGTGCCCACCACCCACCGCTGTCCGACCGTCGGCTCTTAGCCAGGTCTGACCTAAGGAGCAGAGGAGACAGTGCTGGGAAGGTGAGCAAAAGGAGGCAATCATTCTTTGTGAAAATCTGGTTGGAGGGCCTGATATTTTCACAGAGCACTTGACCAGTTGAGATCAAGCCTGAAGACGAAGCCATTTTCTGGTGGCCCCTGTGCAGAGCTTTAAAATGATTCTGAGTGCTAAGGCCTAGTCTCTAAAAACTAGCCAGACCCCAAAGACACCCAGTAAACTAGGACATTCCAGTACTATCATATTGCAGACTTTCTTTTTTTTGTCTCTTTAAAAATGATTTCTGAACAAAAATGAAACAATGCTGTTTGTCAAACAAATAATTACAATCTGCAATAAGACAATTAAACAGCTTAGTGTCAGAGGGACCCTGTGATAGCTATATCCTGACAGATGGGTCCTTCCAGTCTGGCTGCGCAGTCAGTAGTATTCCGCCTGATTCTGGACCTCATTCAAATGTGGTAGAATAAGGTGAATAAAGAACCAAGTGTCGGTCCATTTTTATATGCACTCAGTCAGTGTAGTTTGTCTGTGAGCTCTGATCTGAGAAAAGCCATCATGCATACAAACAAGTGTGTGAAAGAAACAAGTTACTCACTTTACAAAAATCTTCTCTACTTTATGAAAGGATGCTCATTAGGCTCCCTTTCCAAGTTAGCTCTCAGGCCGCACGTAAAGTGCCACCATCCTTGCAGACTTTATCACTTGGCCTAAGCAAGGACACATTCATATAACACTAACATCTCTCCCATGTCCTTTGTCACACTCTGGAAAGAAAAGAAAGCTGTTTAGGACAGTCTATCCATTCTTAAGTACTAACAGCTTTATAAGGAACTCAAAATACATTTCATTTGTGTGATGTGGAGGAAAAGGTGAAAAGGCAAGGGTTTTTTTACAGCTGATTTTGTCACCCCTGCCTTACGGCTTTATATAATTTAAAGTGGGAAGGGGAAAGGAAGACAAAGCCAGAAGCTGGAGGAGATGCTCCTGTCCCAGCCTCTGGTCTCACCGTGGCTTCACAGTGGCCCTGCCCCTCCCTTGCCTGGCTGTGGCTGGAGGGAGCTAGGCAGCAGCGGCCCCTGCAGGGCCCGCCCCCCAGGAGGGCATCCCTTAGCAGCGTGAGCAGGCAGGGGGCCGGGCCCAGGGCTGCCGGCAAGGCTGAGAGCCCCTTACATCCGCTCAGTGTTTCCTGATGGCTGCAGTCTTGAGCTTAAGGCCAGGACAGGACACCCAGGTTCCTTCTAGATTATTCATGCTGCCTTTAGATTCCAGAATCTCACTTCTCCTTAAAATTTGTTTCTTGCTTGTTCTTGCATTGCACAGGATTTATATATGCTTTCATTATTATGTTTGTAGCAGTAAAGATGGAATGTTCAAAAATTCATTCCCTTCCATTTCCTGGCCTTGTTAGTCTTTATATGTAACCATTTTCATACACATCCAAACAGAGATTGTCATCCACCTTTTCTTAAGTAAAAACTGGTGCCTATGAAAATACATCCAGCCCAAAGCTAATTATCCTATTACATTAGAAAAAAAAAATCAGTATGCCTAGACACATTTCATTTACCGCATTGTGTTAATTCCCTAAAGGGACTGCATCAAAGTGTCAGTTGTAATTTAGCCTCTGATCAGCTGTTAAATATTATTTAAATATTTACTAATCCTGTGGGGTCCCTTTACTTATGCCTTCCCCAAATTACATAGATAATTCTAAAATGGATAGTAGGTCTTCAGTGGATCACAGCATAGTTTCTAATGATAAAACCAAGTGTTGGTGTTCTGTTGCTTTTACATGACCAGCTGTCAAGAACATTAACGTACTAGAACAGAGGTAAATGCTCATCTGCCCTCTCCAAGAACCTTGACTTTTCAGTTGCCTTGAAGTATTGGGAATAGTGATTGTAAATGTTCAATTTAATTATTTGGTGTTTTATTTGACTGTTTTGACCATGTCATTTTATAGCAGCATTTTTTAATGGCACTTTTTGTTGGTCGTGTGGAATTTCTGCAGTTACTTTTTTTTTTTTTGCAACAGATAAAGCAAAAAAAAAAAAAAAAACACTCATCGGAGAAATTGCGAGTGTAAAAAAGAAGAGATTTATTTTGTACAGACAGCAGAGCATCCTGTGTAATGTTGCTGACATAAAGCACTTTGGGGGGAAAAAGTGGAAATCTGTTTTCCATAAATCACACAGACTCTTGTACATAGTTATATACACTCACGTAGAGAAATGAACTGCATATATCATACTGGATATGGGGCCGATTTTACTCTAAGGGCACATCTGGTGCTTATTGTCATAAATCTTTTAAAGAATTAGGTACACTTTTTTTCTATTAATATGTATAGTTTTGTGATTTGTCACAGTTATGTTTCATATAATCATAAGTTATTTTGTCTTGTTTCATGAAGCCCTTTTTTATGTCAAAAGTAAAATGAAGGGATTGTGCACTTGGTACAGAATAAAACTGGAAATAGAGGATATGCCCACCCACCTGAACCCCTCCCTCAGCCTGTCATTTTAAAACACAATGGCAGCAACTGTTTTTTTGTTTGTTTGTTTTCTTATTTTGTTTTGCTTTACCATAAGCCTCCTTCATATCAGGATGGTAATTATAATTAAAAGCAGATGGGGTGGGGGAGGGAGTGTCCAAGGCCAGCTTTAAAATGCTGCATTGCTTTGGGCCAGAGCTGCAGCCTGGATTTAATTATAGATATGAGGACGAAATGGCAGTAAAAATGAATGTGTCCCTGAATCCTTTACATGTTGGGAGTGTCCATAAATAAAACATGAAGTTTTATTTCATCAGATTTAATTAAAGCTTTTATACATGTTTTATTGGTTATTCTATTAATCCGCTTCACAAACTGGATAAATGTGTGCTGGGGTTTGGGGTTTATTTGTGCCTTTTCAGTGTAGTGCCACATATTGCCTCAGAAATGCCTCTGGGGCTTGGCCCTCCAGGTGACAGGGTCTCAGCCTGCTGGCCGGTGCTGGAGTGGGTGCTTTCTGTCCAGTTTTTCTAAGACCCTGGAGAGAAAGGCACATGCATCAGCTTGCCATTAGCTGACACCCTAACATTTGAAGTCCTCTGATTTCCTGAAGGAGAAACAGACAATGACCATTTCCCTGATTCCTCGTGCGGTCCACTCTGCAGGCCTTGGGAGGCCACCCGACCCACTGGCTGCGATGAGCTTCCTCCCTCAGCTCCCAGCGGCGGGGGTGCAGGGGAGCGGCGGAGGTGGTCAGGACGTTCTCGCACCTGGGTCGCCACTTAGCCAAGCACAAAATCTAAAGTATAATCACATGGTCTCAAGGGTCATTCTTAGAACGTTGACTGGTTTCTTGCTACATGTTCAAGACTTGAGAATTAAGGGAAGATACAAAGCGGAAGAGATGATGGCTCCGGTGCACTTTGGCTCTTCAGGTTGCTCAGGGCGGGTGTGTTCGGGGTTCAGAGATGGAAGTAGTGCTGACTGACAGGACATAAAGAGCTTCTCTGCTCCCTAAAAGGAGGCAGCTGGTGGGAGTTTATCTGGTCCAAACTTTTTGGAGACTAGTTCGGTATTAACTGGTAAAGTTGGAGATACTCATATCCTACAACTCAACAACTCCACTCCTCTCCAGGGACTTTTGCATAAATCAATGATGGTTCCCATACAAGGTGTTCATAGCAATGCTATTCACAACGGACAAAAATTGGAAATGACCCAACTGTCCATCAACAGTAAAATGAATAAATGAACTGTGCTAAAGCAATATTGTGGAACAGCATGCAGCAAAAACAGCGACAGAACTACAGCAACATGCAGTAACTTAGGGCCGAGTCTCACAAACCATGTTGAAAGAAAAAAGCAACACACAATAGCAAATGTAGTATAATTCTATTAATACACGCTTCAAAAGCAAACAAAATTCAGTTACAGTAAATAGTTCCCCCTTGTCCTAGGTTTCACTTTCTGCAGTTTCAGTTACTGGTGACCAACTGCAGTCCAAAAATGTGAAATGGAAAATTTTAGCCCTGATCATGTAGCTCAGTTGGTTAGAGCGTTGTCCTGATACACCAAGGTTGCAGGTTCTTCTCCCATCAGGGCACGTACAAGAAGAACCCAATAAATGCATAAATAAGCAGAACAACAAATTGATATCTGTCTCTGTCTCTCTCAACCTCCCCCCCTTCTCTCTAAAATCAATTTAAAAATTAAAGAAAAATTTCACAAACAATAAGATTCCATCCATGGGGGTGTGAAGGAAGGGAGGTTTAACTTTGAAATCGCACGCTGTTCTGAGTAGC